ATCAAGAGTCCCACATGTTCAGTACGAAAAGGTGGGGCTGCAGAAGTCATTTCGCTGCACAGTTTTGTCCTCCAGTACACTACTGGCCTCCATAGTGTACGCTGACAGGCAGTACACTGGTACATGCAGCATCTGTGAGTGGTCAATAGATGGCGTCAAACCACAAAATTAACCGAGATCCATGGTATTGTCCTGATTCAGTGTCCCGCGAGAGACCTAATGAGAGAGATGGAAAGAGAGGGAGAGAGGGAGAGAGAGAAAGAGAGACAGACAGACAGACAGACAGAGAGAGAGACACAGAGAGAGACAGAGAAAGAGAGGTTTTGGGGGATGCAGCAATCATGAACAAATATAACTTCCAAAAGCCTTGTCCAGATGTGGTGCGATGAACCGCGGCGTTTTTTTTGGTGGTTTTTTTTTGTGTGTGTGGACGATGACTTAAAGTGTAATACGCTTTACATTCATGCATCTTAATACACAAAGCTCACTGAATAAAGCGAAAGACCTTTGTTGCGCATAGTTGCCATTCATTTACAAATAAATTATCGCGGCGTTTTTTTGTTTGGTTTATGATATGCTTTTTTGTGGTTGTTTATCGTGTGATACCTGAACAAGATTATTGAGTCTCTAGAGGTAATACATTTCGATATTCTATGAGTAAATCCCCCTAAATTGATTTAAACCATATTCCTCGGTTGATCACTCCTCCATTATTTCATGCACAACAAAAGGAATAGCACCCCCACCCCCTCTTCATTCTCTCTCGTCTCTCTCTCTCTCTCTCTCTCTCTTTCTCTCTCTCTCTCTCTCTCTCTCTTTCCATCTCGACTCTCTTTTGTCTCTTCTCTCTCTATCTCGTCTCTTAATTTTCTTTCATATTTTGCTTGACTCTGATACCTATTCATCATTATTTCGTTCTTTATATTTTTTTGTTTCGATCTACATTTATAGTTTGAAATAATCATGACATATTATTTTTCATTTTTTCTTATTTCATTTATTTTCATTTCCAAGTATCAAATACAACTATGAACCATGTTGACATGTAAACGGAATGGTAACAAATTAAGATATTTACAAAATAACGTGGATTTATAAAATGCACTAGCAATTACGATTTTTGTTGTCTCCATAATGAACGAGAAATGGCATCATTCGAATTCCCGCTTCGATAAGTTATATGAGAATTACCCATGCCATGAGCAAAATCGTCATCAGGAACGCCAGTCGATTTGTTACAGGATTCCCTGAATTGCATAGCTCTCCCTCGCAGCAGTACGAACAAGTCTCCATTGCCCAGCCTGGACCGGCCGTGTAGCAGGCCTCGATACACTGAGCACCGCAGGTCCGCGAGGTGGCGTAAAACTCGCTCACAGCCCCTCCCATCTCATCTGTTGTCGTCTCCATGGTGACGGATTTCTATGGGATAATGGGATGAGATAATTGGAGTAATTATATAATTAAAATGTATTGATCGTGAGATCCCTATAGGATTGTTGATGACTACGCAATCGCAAAGACCTTCAAATATTAAGGTTAGGCAATTTCAAAATACCTTGTCCGTGAACTGTGTTATATGCGAGCAGGACAATAACCTATTATATTATTCGAGTATGATTTATTAAGAATACACGAGGTGGTGTTGAAATTGCTTTTGGATTATTTCTCGAAATTCTTTGTTATGATGTCTGCAAGCCGAAACAATCTCGGAGAAGCAAAATTAAATGAATACATACAATACAATGAATAAGTTAACTTTTAAAGAGGAGGCAGTGAGACAGGTAGAGACAGAGAAAGACGGAGGGAGAGAGAGAGAGAGGGGAGGAAGAGAGAGAGAGAGAGAGAGAGGGGAGGAAGAAAGAGAGAGAGAGATAGAGAGAGAGATAGAGAGATAGATAGAGAGAGAGAGAGAGAGATAGAGAGAGAGATAGAGAGAGAGAGAGAATGATTTTTAAAGGATAGACAAAGAGGTGTGGCAATTGTTTTTGGATTATTCCTCAAAATTGTGTGTAATATTGTGTTTGCAATTGACCTTGCATGTGACAAAATTCGTGTGCTACACTTCATTACAACTAATCACTATTACATGTATATACATTAACAATTCTCTCTATCTCTCTCTCTCTCTCTCCCCCCCCCCCCCCCTCTCTGTTTGTCTGTCTGTCTGTCTCTCTCTCCTCTGTCTCACTCTATGTCTCTCTGTCTGTCTGTCTTTCTCTCTCCCTCTCTCTCTCTCTCTCTGTCTTTATCTGTCTCTATCTGTCTTTCTTTGTCTCTCACTCCCTCCTCTTCAATTAGTTAATTTGTTTATGTATTAATATAATTGTGTTTGTCCGAAATCGAACTTGTTCCCCCCCCCCCCCCCTCCTCCTTTCTATCTCCCCTCTCCCCGTCTACAGAACCGTCTATTTGATCGTGTTTTGTTGGAAAATTAATATAATAGTTTATACGATGATGAAGCGGATTATAAAAAAACACGTAATTTTACTAATGACTAGGCATCAGCAAATAATATTGACCGGTCATTAGTAAATTAATATTTAATATAAACCATCATTTTATAACACAAATAAAACATCATCTTATTTATAACACAAAATAATACACATCATTTTGTTCAGGCATTAGTAAACTTACCCACACTCGGTACCTTCGAAACAGTCCAAACACCATCGCATACCGCCTCGGGCGTGTTAGAGTGTTTCAATGGTACCGTACATTTGGGGGTAAATCTTACTAATGCCCTCAATGCATTTTGTATAATAAAGATATGGTTATCGAGATCACTTACAATGCAATATCTTTCACACTCTATGATGGTGATGTTGGTGAGAGGCACGGGGTTTGGGAAGGGCTCGACGCAGTCCGGCGACCCTGTACCGTTGACATGTGAGCACTCGTAACATTCTACGGATTGGGAGACATCTGACGCAGAAGAGAAAAAGAAGTATAACGACTTTTCTGGATTTACATTATATTCGGTTATATTTCAATTTATTTTAAATTATTTATTTCCATAACTCAATTGAAACATGATAAAATGCTTACATCAAATCAACATCTAATGATATTTTCAATATGACATAGAGAATGGAATGTATTTGTAATTATGCAATATCAAATTTCGATTTTAAATGATTTTGAGATGCAAGATATATAACATCAATATAATTAAAAATCAGTCGAGAAGAATTTGAAAGGACATTGAAAAAGCCACTATAAAAACGATTATTATATTTGTTTGGTTTATTAAAAAAGAACGAAAAACGAAAGGAAGAAAGAAAGAAAGATAAATAAAAAAAAAAATGATCACATGCACATAGTGCTTAATTCATCAACGATGTCTCTAAAGTTTAAACATGTATACAACACTGGCCATCGGATTCCTGCTTTCCCACACACAATTTATGCACATTGTCCACTCATTGGGGAGTATTCCAGCCAGGATCTATCTTAATACAGACGCCCATATTGCTGAGCAAACTCCAAAGACGTTTGCATCATAGCGGATATCCACTAGATACGCAGAGTGGATTCATAATTATGTTATTTCAGCGTGTTCGCCGGGGAGATTAGAACCCCGAACCCTTTGATCGAGATTCTACTGAATGAACCACAGAACTGTACAATGACAACTCCACTATACATGTATATAGACAATTTTATATATCATCTTCACTTTTTTTTTTAATTTCGTCCGCAATATTATTGTTAAATATAAGTCGTTTATGCAATACAAACAATGATCATGGAAAGAACATTTTAATGAAATAATAACAAGTGAGATAAACAGCATTGAACTTTTTTAAAGCATTTCACAATTAAACAAAAAATATTGTAGTAACGTGAGGACCTTGCAAGGTCGATACGTGCGCTATATAAGAATCCAATATTATTATTATTATTATTAAAACAAGGTTCATATTCATAAAACTGTATTGAGCTTTGTTATCAAGTAATATTATGGGACCGGGACACATATTGTTCCTATAAGAAGTGCGCATTCTGCAGAAACTAATCCTTTATTTTGGTATTGTACACGAAGCACAGGAGTTTTTAAATACGTGACAAGTTAAAGAAAAAGGCATATAGTTCTTACCTCCTTGCATCAAGATCATTAGACCAAAAACGACTAGGTAGTTGGCAACCGTCATGCTGAACATTACAATATCAATAAATTCCTTAGAAAGCACACATTATCAAGGGCAAAGCAAGTTGGAGAAACCAGTCTTCAAATTTAGTTACGCAGATCCGGTCATCGTTTCAAAATTGTCACGATGAACACTCAATGTTCATTGCGTAGGTTTACTCCAGACTATATTGGAAGTATTGCATCTCCTGTGACGCAGTAGGCAGCTAGGAATCACCAATATCGCACATATCGATGAAATCCAAGTAAATAATAAACTTCTTTACTCTATTTGTCTCCAATTAACATTTATTGAATAGGAATCAACTCGCAAACATTTGTATTATAACGATGGTGCCACGGCAGTGGGTGCATAATATTTTCTAACAACCGGGATACAAGTTGTTACGTATACTAAAGCATTGGACTGTGTTGCGGTAAATCTTATTGATTATTGTCAAAAAGGCTTTCAAACTCTTCTCATAGTCTTTTATGATGGTAATTATTGTACACAGCGCCGCTCCCTAAATCGATATCGTCGAAGAATAACTCGCGACGGTGTTCTTATCAATATTCCGAGGGCTTCCAAAGAATCTTTATTCAAAAAGTTCTCCGTTCCGAAAGCCTGCTACGCCGAAAGCTCGTATGATTATTATGCTCATTATGCCGATAGTCACTTTGGCCGAAGTTTTTGTTATTCCAAAAGTACTCAATTTCAAACGATGGTATTGAAAAAGGTGCTATTACTCCGAAATCTCGAAATTGGTCGTTGAATTACTTTGTTGAGACCGAATTGCATTATTTTTGGAGGGTTGATTTCCACTCTAAAGTGAGCCAGTCTCTAACATGATTTGCGACTAAAAGTTCAATTCCGCTCTTGTCCTGCATATTAATAGAGCAGTGTCCCCCTTGTTCAAGTCCAAGTTCAGGTTTTATTCCCATTTTCGTTAAGACAAATACAAATTGTATACAATCAATAAACGACAAACAACATTTTACAAAGTATAAATAAGTACATATCAAAGTTTTCATGTTATGTTTCTTTGCAAAACATAACATATTATTCTCAATGAAGCTACAAGATAGGTGATAATTGACCGTGCCGAGTTGTTCAGGGTATTGTGTCGAGTTGTCTTGGGGCGAGCTGTCTTTGTGGCGAGTTGTCTGGAATTCGTCTCTAATCATGGCATAAATAATTGAGATGTACAAGTATGTTCTTTGAGTCGTCTGAAAGCAAGGTATAATTACATGCAGTATGTACCTACTCTTTATTAAAAGTAAAGACCAGTATCATACAAATAATCTAAATCAAGAAGAAAAATGAAAAGGATGCTTTCTATTTTTATGTCCAGTGGAAATGGAGGCTCCACTAAAGAGCATGGCTTGAAGAGTGTGGACCTCTCAACAAATAATGCTGAAACTAATTATCACAACCGGTCAGTGAAGGTTTGAGCAAAAAAGGGTTAAAATAAGAGAGTTGTGTATTGTATAAAGTGCGCTCAGTCAAACATACATTGGCAATTCATAACTCTTCTTTTTTAATCGGATATTGCTCGAACTCTCACTAATTTGTCTCTCTCGCTTTTTCTGCTTTTATTAAAACTAACTCGATATAAGGGTGGACCTACCCTTTAATAAAGAGTCGGTACATACTGCACGTAATGGGGGGGGGGGGAGGAAACAACCGGTTAGATAAAGTAGGAGGATGCAGATATAGTTAAATTAAGAGAGGATAGGAGTAGGCTGTTAATAGTGGTATACATTTTGGAGATAAAATAAAGGAGAATAAAAAAAGGAAATGATAAAGAATTACAAAAGCGAGGAAAAAATAGGAATGGAGAGAGAGAGAGAGAGAGAGAGAGAGAGTGAGAGAGAGGGGGGGGGGGACACGAAATCGCCATCGATGGGAATAAAGTGAATGCTAAAGGGGAGAAAGGTATGAGAGAAAGAAGATGAATTAAAAGAAAACGAAAAAGAAGAAAGAACGAACCTTACCAGAGATAGCGATAATAAGAGAGAGAGACAGAGAGAGAGACAGAGAGAGAGACAGAGAGAGAGAGAGAGAGAGGGGGGGGGGTGATCATGCAGATCAATGCAAGTAAGGAAAAACATGACAAAGAGGGCGTGCGTCAAGTATTCGCAACCACAGGATTGATCCCTTACGCTAGGTTTTGAATCTTCAACTGAAATAGATACTGCACAACATAATAATTTAGATGTCAGAGTGTAGGCTATTCGCTTTACGTCTATTTCGCAATTGTCAAAATGAGGCAGAGGAAATCTTTATGTCATGTTAAAGCTTATCTGCCGTAGTTTACAGGAGGGATTAGACTGCCCTGCAAGGTCACTGGACAGGTGGTTATCTCATCAACTCAGCTCTCAGTTAACATAAGAAAAAGAGGACCATGGGGGACCAATGGTCACCGATTAGGCATTGTTTGTTATATAGAGGGCGCAAGTAGCTACTAGTAGTGCAGTGGGCCTTTAAGATACAAAAATATAAATGTTTAATAATACTACAAATCTGCAGAAATGCGGCCAGAAATATCCACTACCATAATCTTCTATCAAATGCAAATGATATAGGGGAGGGGTGTGGCAAATGAAATGGCAGCTACAACGCCGACCCCCGTTAGTCTCTGTGACATTTATATATCTCGTATGTAATTATATTAACACATCAGGCAGCAGCACTAATAGGTCATGACAAATATACACGATGAACCAACACGAGGAAAGGAGTAATATTTTAAAAGCGCGGTCTCTTAACATACAGTTTAGAAGAAAAAAATATTGACACCCATTGTTATATGCGATACCAAATACGCAGCGCATCTTCTTCAAGTCATTGACTCTATGGATATTTTCTCACTTTTAGTGTAGGGTCTGCTGTATAGACTAGTAAGCCCAGCGAGTGGTTATTAGTTTTGAGGGAACGCCCCCGCGCGGTCTCCGCATGCGCAAATCTCCGCCCGACCCGAAACCAGTGCTCTCGTTTGCGATCGAAATAGAGGCAGGTATGTACATTTAATGGATAGCTAGGGCATGTGAATGCATAGAGGGTGCATAGTAGCCCTGTTTCGTGTATCATTATTGACACTTCACACTTTTTTTGTATTTTGCTTCAGTCTCAACACTTATTTTGATTAAGTCTTAACGGGCGTGTTGTTACTTCAAATTGATGTTCGTCTCTGATAGGTAATAAACGTCAAGGTTCAATTTGCATTTTTCCTTTTATCTGTCATTGGGAAATAGGCCAGGGACATCAACATCTATTGCCGCTTTGATTCCGGCCGGTTGGAGCCCCATACACCGATAACCATCTACGGGAAAAGGACGGGTCTCATATATTTTCGTTTTCTCCTTTGAGGGTAAGTCCGTTTTATAAATGTACGAATATGTAACTGGTCAATGCTTGGAAAAAGGTGCTTATTTATATCCATTATGTTGATGAATACCGGGGCAACACGCGCTGGTAATTTATATGGAGGGTTATCAGGAAAAGGAGGATATACAAGAATAAGCATGCTAAGCATGAACAGAACCTTACGTAATTTGAGTAGAAGAGGGATTATTGAAACTCTCTCTCTCTAACACTCTCTTTCTCGAATACTTTCTCTCTCTCTCCCTCTCTCTCTCTCTCTCCCTTGTCACAATACTTAACAGTCAAATCTGATTTATTTCCAGGAAAGCATTTAGTATACTAACATGCTAACGAGGAGAACCATCACGGTTCAATTAGCTTCCCTCCTTCTTATTCATACCTCCTTCTATTTTTTCTCTCCTTCTTTCAAATCATGTATCATCCTTATACACACGGTATAAAAAAGGGGTGCCGGTACAAACCTTTTTAGAGTAAGGAGGCACATGAATTGTGGGTGGTGTATCATGACCTTCATTTAGTTATTATATCGCTCACGCTCATTTGAAAATTTCTCCTATATATTTCATGAAGTAATATAACTAAAACATTTAAGACTAATAACAATAGTTAATAGGCTATGTAATAGTTCTCAAGACCATCTCTGACAGTGCTAACGTTTCGGGATAACCTGTGCTCAAGCACAGTTCTTCACCAAGCGGAGGGGGAATTCAAGAAGAAGAAGACAAAGAAGAAGAAGAAGAAGAAGAAGAAGAAGAAGAAGAAGAAGAAGAAGAAGAAGAAGAAGAAACAGATAAACCAATATTTTCAAGATTATCCAAACGGAGACACACAATGGATATGCATATAAACTTGTTTTTTCAATTTCAAAATAGATATTTGATATACCAAAACAAATCCACAGCAACAGCATAAAACAGCTTCATGTGTTCACAAGTCCAGATATACACAGATGGAAAAAAATACAAGAAATTCAAGATAACTTAGAATACAACTGTTCACTTATCGAGTCATTCTTTTTTCAGATGTTTTTAATGAAAGATTATGGGTTTATTTCTTTCTTCCTTCAACCGGAATTTCATTCCTTCATCAATCTCATTAATATGTATCCGTCAATTCGTATGCAATTCGTATGGAGTGCTCCCAGGGAGTGGAGAATGTGCATATATTGTGTGCGGGTAAGCCTGAATCCGATGACCGGGGTAATAATATGATTGCAGGGCCCTCAGGGAGAACAGTATGAATACTGATGAGACTGATTATTATTATTATTATTATATGAATATGATTATTGTTATTTGGGCCTCCTCAGTTATTTGACGGGGTAGAGGATTTTCAAAAAATGGTATAATATAGAACTGTGAGAAGAGCCCTATTTTGTTTATTCTGTATATTCTCCTTAAATATACCAGGATTAAATTGAACCCTGGACCATACACTATTCCGGATCTAATCCCTAAACCTAGCCCAAAACCTAATTGCAACCCTAACCCTATATCTTTGAAGAAATAAAACCTGGAGCAATGACTCAAGATCATATGACCGGTCACCAAATTATGACTTTTTGTCAGAATTGTACGTGACTTCCAATTGTAGCTAAAAAGAATACAATGTACTCAGATTAGATATAGTCTATGCACACAAGTCCCAACGTAAACATAAATGAATGAATAGATATATGAATAAATAGATACGTAAACAACAATAATGATAGTAAAAATGACAACGATACAAACATCAATACTACTACTAATAATATTGATGCATGATAATAGTAATACTAATGATATTGCGCAGTACTAAGCAAGGTTTTGCAAATGTGTTTCGGTGTGGCACATAGACTACGGATCATTAAATTGAGGTCGTTTTACCAAAAACAAAACTAGACAATCGTCACAATAGGATCGTCGGATTCCTGAAATAACACAGCGAGGCTTCCTATTGTGTTGGGAGGGTTAGCATAGCGGGGGCGTTCTGGTGTGGAACGCGGTCACACGAGTTTACTTTCAAAGGATTGGTACCAACACATATGACAGAACTGAGATTTAAAATATTAACAAATCGTCGCGTTCACATACGCGAGTCTATGTTTCGATTTGTGTATTACTAGCTCACATTAACAGTGATATAAATATTATTTGAATAAATCGATATATGAATGAACAATTTCGTGAGTTAAACAAAATCATGAATAAGTAAGTAAATAATGAATATATAAATAAATAAATAATTATATAAATAACCACTCAATAGATTAATAAACAAACGAATCGATCAAAAGAAAATCGGTGAATCAAAAGATAGTCATGTTAAAAGGACTGGCTACGTTGATTAGACAGCTTAACAACAAGAAAATATTGTCAGGATATCACTTACACATCTTCTTCTATTTTGCATGACTACTAATAAAGCAGGGGTATGACATTGACGACTATTTGGAAGAAGGGGGGGGGGGTCGTTGTTGATATATTTTTCCTGCGGCCCCATGACAAATATAAAAACAAAATCAGATGGTCATCAATAAGAAGCGAAGCAAAATCATTTATGCTATAGTCTGCCCTAAAAAGTACTTAAATATACCTGTTGGTTTATTTTTGAACTACATGTATCATACTTATGTCAAAAAGGAGTTACACTAATAATAATACCACAATACCTTTTGAACCTTTTAAAAGAGTCTGAATTAGATATAACTGACATCCGACAAACATCATAGTTGACTGAACTATATAAACGACTGACACCCTAAAACACCCCGACTGTGACACGTGTTTGAATTCCTAACCCAAGTTTGAACTCTGGCCATGCAAACTCGGTATTTATGCTTATTTTTCACAATAATTAATCATCAAAAGGGTAATGTGTGACGTCGAAATATGATAACTTATAATTATTAGCAACCCCACTGACCTTATTGAAAATGCACTGAAATCGTAGGCAATATATAGAGTGCCAATTTTTGGAAGATATAACGGTACGATTATGCAGGTATTTCCGTTGCATCGCTGTATGGTCTTTGATGTATACATGACAACAAACTAAACAGATAAGGCCTATATATTTTTTTAAATATAAAATTACTCTTAACATGACTTGATGTTCTCCCTCTAAATTGAGATCCTCATTAGACAGGTTTAAGCGTAAATCTGCAGTTAATGGATATATTCTCTAAATTTAAATGAATATTTCAAATAAGTACATGTACCAATTTAATATGTGTATCAATTTCTTCAGACTTGAACTATTTAGCCTTGCGGGTATGTATTTACTTCCTATTTTAGTTTTCACGTTGTACATAGCCCTGTTTTAGTGTATTTCTAAATATTTTGTCTATATACTTGACTTGTACCTTTCCGGGTCTTTACATTATGTGAAAGTTTCGTTTTTACTCCCACCATAAACGCATAGAATGCGGAAGTTTGACAGGGGTGATAAGGACCTTTAACTTGAGCTCCCGGTGAAGTCATAAAGAGAGAAAGAGGGAGAGAGAGAGAGAGATCTATCCTCGGGTCACGGTAGAGGTCAAGGGGAGCTTACGTTTATCTCATTTTCAGATTTATTCTGGTAAACTTACGATTAGCAACACGAACGCTACACTTAACTGACACAATATGCTGCCTGGGAGCGAGAGAGGTACTTTGGCTGAAAATTGAGAGATTAATTAAAGGTTAAGACCAGTATTGGAAACGCCCCAATTTCAAAAAATGAAATGGAAGCTTTTATTACCAATCATGTGAAAGAATATGTTTTGACTAATACATGATGATACAAATTTTGCCGGGAAACCGCCTACTAATTGATATATTTGGTAAATTAGTTTATCTACATGGTATGTGAGAGATAAACGCACGTGTGCGTATAGTCCTATATACATCTTTCTGTGTACAGTGCTTGTAACTTTACGAAGACTGGGCCATTATCTTATCATTTTGATGATTCCAGAACCTTGCAGTATACACCAATACTTATATGCTAGATGATCAACCTTTTCTGATCGATTCCACAACGTTTCTTTCACAATGCAATCGCATGATCATAACTGGTCTTTACCTTTAAGTGATGTATCTTTTTTTTTCAGCTTAAAATGGCCAACCCGATTTTAGGACAGGCACAAAACAAAGGAATATACGCCATGTTGGGAGCAATTTAAACAATGTTGGCCAAACCCTCCGGTTATTGGTATAGCGTTTAAAATTGAGATAACATCATTTTGACTGTAAGCAAGTGTACAACAGTCCTTTACCAGACTTCCTCGAGGGCCTTTAACGGGTTAAGGCTCACATAGAGAAAAATAGACCTACATTAAAATAAACATTTTGCCACAGGTACAATGCAGGCTAAATGTTAACAAAAGGAACAAGGCGAGACGAAATTACCCACAAAGTGTTTTTACTCTGTCAAACTCGACATGAGTCATGTCAATACATTTTCTACTCTTTCCTGAAAGAGTTTATATTGATTTGACAGGTTACTAATTCTGTTTAATGCCGGTGAATCTGATAAAGGAGAGCTTCGATGCTTTATCTGAATTATTATTTTCTCTTGATTTAACTGAATAAGGTTAATATCCAACCCCCCCCCCCCCCAAAAAAAAAGGGAGGGAATACCAACTTCTCACGATAATTCCACATGCGGTGGAGTCATTCAATAAGTATTTCACCAGACAATCCGCGGCAACTACTTGTTCTTATGGTGAATGATGATGCTCTGGGGAAGAATAATTGTATTTCCTGTATTTTCTGTGACCCGACTAGGAAATCAAGGGGGAGGGTGGTCTATTCCCGGGGTCTGAGGGAGCTGTGCCCCTCCCCCATGTGGTTTATGAAATTGACTATGATCCCTTACTAAGTATACACAAATAAATGCACTGCGCCCCCTCCCCCTGTGAATGCGCAAATGTCAACATATTTTACCTGTGTGTTGCCATGATCCAAATTACCCCTCCCCCCCCCCCACACAAAAATGAAACATAAAGAGAGAGAGAGAGAG